CGATGTTTTGGCTTTTGTCCCGCTTAAGGTAATCTTAATCAGCCCACTGTGTGCTGGTAGATCTTCAGGGTCGCTCGACACATGTTAGAAAAAAAAATAGAAAATGAATTAAAATATTTAATTTTAGCGTATCAATACAGCAACTGTATTAAGAGAAATGTTGAATGGTATAAAAGTCAAATATAACATAATATAAAACATCTTAAGAAATAAATTTATATTTTTTAGGAAGAGAAAGATAATTTCATTGCCTGGGGGAGGGGAGGGGGCGCAGAATGTCTAAGGCCGGTATTGGGCACATGTAATATATCCTTATATTATACTTTTTAATAAAAATTATATCCTGTGTACGTGGATATATTTTAGCTGAAACCTGGATTTGTAGAAGTTTTCAAGCAAATCAGGATTTTTTTTTTATTATTATTTGTATGATAATTACAACACCTAGTAAATTCGTACGTAGATATAATGACATGAAAAACATGTTGAGAAACTACCCATTGGTAACATTCTAATAATATGTCTGTATTACGAGATCTCGGAGCCATCTTCTTTTCAGACGCCTCGGAGGGTTATCAGGATTTGAATAGGAAGCAAGGTTGAAAACAAGAGGGTTGGGATGGTTATGAAGTTTATAATGGAAAGATAGATATCTGGATTAGGCCTAATCTGAAATATAAGTAACATTAAGGTCATTATTGATGATTTTATTTGTAACAAAGTAAGGAGCATTGAGAATTTTACGATGGATTTTGGATTATAAGGATTGGATACGAGAGGAATTTGAAGGTTTGTCATGTATATGAGTCTTTTTTAATTAATTGGAAGATTGGAGTGTTTGTCTAGTAAGTGTTGAAGTAGTCGGAAACGTCGAGTGGTTTCTTGTCCTTTCAGTCTGGTATGAGAATTCCAAGTTGGACGTTTTTCCAGGTGTAGTCCTAAGTAACGGATTCGTTCAACAGGAATAAGTGAGGTGTTGTTAAATGATACTGAAGGGCATGAAGTCATTGGTCTATGAAAATCAGGATTTAAATTGTTAAAGTTTCAGTTTTTGATATTCATGCAGCTGATAGTATAGTAATCTCAATCGTGGTTTAAACTAATATTATAATTCCAATTAGATTTAATTTTAAATTAATTAATAAAATTTTCTGTATGTTTGTTTATTTTTTCTTCAATATTGATACTCGTACTAATTCCCTATTGAATAAACATTTATTTAAATAATTTGAAGTGCGTGCTTCTAATTATGCTGACGTCTAATGAAGTATTAAAATCTGATAGGGTACTTAACCAAAATAGTTACAAGCTACTCGACGATTAATCAATGTTATTCAAACTAGTTGAGGCTAGTTTAGCTCGAGGTGGTGCCTTGAGGGAAAATTATAATAATGTAACCAAGCTTTAGGGGATCAATACTTCCTGGTTTGTACAGTTTTGCCGGCTTTGGATTTCAGATTACTGTTGGGGCCATCTGCTTCGTCCTGCTGTTGTAAAAGGCTGTCAAGGAACTCAGGGCATTGAAGAGGAAATTAATGTAAAATAGAAATCGTAATAAGAAAATTATAGTATGAGTTTCAATAGTATGAGTTTTCAAGCCATTAAAATGCAAGTTTAATGTACCCATAAAGGTTTCCAGTTATGACGTAGCTATTCACTCTATATTTTTTCGAATAATTTTTTATTATCTTGTCATATTAGCTATTTCGCTACTGTTAGCGTAATAGTTCGTATGTGAAAATAAAGTTTTATTACAACAGAATATATCTGTGACAAAACTACTTAGGTCGCGCCTCTTGTCCCGGAACTTAAAAATTAGAATCTATAAAACAATTATCTTGCCTACAGTTCTTTATGGATGCGAAACTTGGCAGCTTACATTAAGGGATGAGAAGCGTCTTAAGGTTTTTGAAAAAAAAAGTATTGCGTAGAATATTCGGACCGAAGAAGGATGAGTTAACCGGAGAGTTCAGACGGTTACACAACGCCGAATTGCGTGAACTGTATCCGGGTAATATAATTGAGGTAATTTCATCGCGGCGAATAAAATGGGCTTGTAAAGTTGTTGGGCTTAGTAACGAGAGAATTCCTAAAAGGTTAATGTTTGCTGTGCCGAATGGTAAGCGTCCGAGGGGTAGACCGAAGCGAAGGTGGGAAGATTGTATTAAAGCCGATCTGAAGGGACTGGGTTTGGACGGCGAACGGTGGAGGGAGGTGTGTAATAAGCGATTGGTAGTGTCGGCATCGAACCTTCGGGTTCGCTAAGCCTTTTATTATTATTATTATTATTATTACAACAGAATATAAAAACTGATTATTTCTTTATTATTTACTAGGGGTGGGAGTGGATAGGGGTACCTCCTGACCATCTAACCAACTCTCATTTTACAAATTATTATTATAACCAATTTATATTAACCAATTTATGTTATTATATAATTATAATTATTCTTATTATGAACAAAAAAAGGACACAAAAAAAATATATGTTTTGATAAGAGTAATTTTCTATAGGAATATAAATTTGTTGGACGTTTGTCTATTTTTGCTTTTGTTCTCAAATGAGAACTAATAAAGAAAATATAAGATACTTAATCATTATTTATTCTTTCGCCATAATAACATTCAATACAAGCTACTATGCATGCTCAGGTGAAAGGGTTAGGTTGGATTTTATAAAGCATTTTTCTATTTACAGAAAGTAAGATATACAGACTTAATAATACGTATAAGCGGAAGACCAAGGTAAAAAGAAAAAAAATTATGAATAATGATTGTACAGAATATAAAGAAAAGTAACGTAATAATAATAACAAAACGATACTTATTCTAATGTACAATTGTATTTGGCATGCCATAAACCTAAAAGAAACAAAGTCCAAGGCATATGGCATGCTAAATATAGGAATTGAATAGTCCCAAGCAACAAAAGAAGAAAGAATTATACATTATATTCAATGCTTCCCAGATTTCGAAAATTCTGCCAATCTTGGTGACATTGCCAATTTCTAAACTTAATAAAGAAAAATAATTCTGGGAATAAGAAATGTGTTGTCTTCGGTGCTGTTAATCTCGCTTTGTATATGTTAACTAAAATATGATACGGTCACTAAAATCGTTTCTATTTATTAGAAAAATTATTACATTTTCATATTTTGTTTCATTTAACTATTTTAGAATAGAAGACAACTTATAGCAATCGCAGACTACAAAATCTCATTTTCAGCACAAATAAAATGAGAATAGGGGTTTTCATCCAACCAGTGCAAAGTATTGTAAACCTCTTAAATGTGTAAATTTGAGAAAATTATTTACGAAATGTGTGTTAAATATCCCCGCTAGCTCTATGGATTTTAACGCAGCCTAGGGTCCTGTTGCTAAATCTGTAATCGCTTGGAGTAAGTTATTGTAAGGTGTTGATGTGTTTGATTCTTTGTTCTTTCTCTTTGAACAATATTCACAGAAATGAAATGTACATGTATGGAATGGACAGCTAGGATTTCATCAATGTTTCCATAAAGTTCTTTGTCTTCTGAATCTTTATTTATGCTTCCTAATAATCAACCAATTTTTAGCCAAATAATCAAGCAACTCAGTTTTTTCACTTTCTTTTGGTATTTTAAAAATAAATCAAAACCTCATTAGATCAATTAAGGCCTCACAAACTATGGTTACAGTAGACCTGGGCACTCTTGAAATAATTTATTTCTGAAATAAATCATATGATTATTTCACGAATGAATTATTCTCGGAATAGCGGTTATTGGTGAAATAATATTTCACATTGTTAATGAAATAATCTCGATGAAATGACTACTAAATTTATTTCTGAAATAACTATTTCAATATGTTAACATTTAATGAAATAAAGTAAGTTATTTTGAAATGAGTTATTTTTATGAATAATTATTTCATAATTATTATTCAAGATTTTTTAATTTCATAAATAAATTATTACAAAAAATCATGAAATAATTATTTCCGAAATAACTATCTACTGCAATAAAATAAAAAATCCACCAATATAACAAATATATAATATTTAAATATATAATATAATCCGATCAACCTCAAATCCTCTGTTGACAATGACGATAGGGTGTATATTTAGCCCAATACTTACAGGAGTGTGTGCCCGACCATCTTAATATTATATTTATGCAATATATTTTGCCCCGTTTGAGAAACGTTATTCTTTGCAGAGGCTGATTGTGTCCCACATTAATTTCTTTTTTCTAATGCCACTTTTCGTTTTTTATAATTAGATGGACTTGAGACATTATATTTACTCCTGTTTGAGACACTTTAATCTTTGTAGAGGCTAAGTTTGCACGAAAGAAATTGAATTTTTCTTATACCCCTTTCGTTTGTTTTATAATTAAACGAATTCGAGGCATTATATTTACTCCTGTTTGTGACACTTTAGTCTTTATAGAGGCTGAGTGTGCCCGATAAACATTTTATTTTTTCTTATGGTTCCTTTTAGTTTCCACAATTAGACGGACCTGAGATCTTATATTTATTGCTGTTTGAGACACTTCACGCGATTATCAGAATGATTATTTCAGAAATAATCGTGCCATTAATCCTTAAATAATTTATTTCAGAAATAATTATTTCTGAAATAATGCTCGCGTTATTTCATGAAATGAATTATTTTCCTAAATAACTGGGGAAGGTTATTTAACGATTTATTTCAGAAATATTATTTCAAATAAATTCTGACGAGGTCTAATTTACTGTATACCTTACTATAACTAATAACACTTTCGCACGTTAGCCCTGACTGGTTATTTACCATTCATTCAAAATTTGTAATGACTATTTAGCATGAAAGCACATTAAGCATTTACAACAAGTGCACGAATATCCTAATGTAAAATTGTTACATACGACCTTTTGCACTGACAAAGCGATTTGTCTTATATAACATTGTATATAAGTCAAAAAAAATAAAATACAAACTATGATCCGTAATATAGCTTATTACCTTTTACAGGATGTCGACCAGAAGGTGTCGTGGATACAGCGAGATGTTGGAACTCTCAAGCCAGGATTCGAAGAACTACGGCAGCATACGGGATCAGGACCGCCAAGTCATACTTCAGGTTAGTGCAGTGCATATTTGTACTACAATGGGAAATATGGGGGCTGGGGTAGCCGTGCGGGCTAAGGCGCTTGCAATAGGTTATCAAAGTTAAGCACCGCCGAGGGTGGTTAGCACTTGGATGTGTGACCGCTGAGAGAAAGCCACGCTGCCCAAGATACCCCCTCCCCGGGTATGTGAGTAAGCCTGCTGGAGGCATCTCACACCGACCGAGCGTAGGACTGATGACCCTACCCTCATGTACTTAAATCGGTAATCGGGATGTGGTCTGGGAGACCAGATCTCGCGGTAAAAGATCTTAATGGTATGCAGCGCCAACAGAAAAAATAAATAAAAAATGGGAAATATATTAAATATACAAATACAAATATTTTGTATTTATTAAAATATATTTTCGGTATAAATAGTCATATGGACTATGATGGGATGGATATATAAAATATATCTCGTTCTACGATTTCTCTTCAAAATCTAGAGGCACCCAAACAATGTGACCCATCTTTACGTTGAATTGAATGCAGTTCTAACATCTTTCCTACATCTATAGCTTTCTGCAATCGTATCCTCAATCTACTCACAGGTAACAAGATCCTTCCTTCCTTACCTCTATACCTCTTCCCACCACTTTAAGGCATTTGAATAAGTTCTTTTTTGGCCCGCTCCACTTCAATTTATATTTTACCCGCATCTAACATACCAAGCATTTGCTTTTCTCTCTTTTTCCTGTTTACTCTCTTTTCGCCAAAATATATCTTTTTTTCTGTTGCTTATAAATTTTTACTAATTATAATAAATTTAATTTTAGTGATTATTTATTTACTAAAAGGTTTTTATTAATGTAATCTCTTGGCCAGTTCGTTATGATCAAGCTAATTTGTTCTACAGTGAAGTAGTTGTTTTATTTTTATCTAACTATCTGCAGCAAGAACATAAATTGATGGCAAGAAGTAGACCGGAGGAACAGAAATATTGTGGAAAATGGAGAAGTGAATTCGGTATTTAATCTACTAACAGCTGCTTTTAGCCATATGTTAAAAAGCTTTAAAAAAAATGTGAATAAGAATAAAATTAAAATATATATGAACAAGATAGTACTGACTTATTTTACAATAAAAAATAAGTATCCAGCGCTCTTTAGATTAAATTTATACTTTTTTTTTTAGTTTTTATCATATTTTTTAATTTTCATGATCTAAAAAAACATCATTGAGTCTTGGAAACTGATTGAAAAAAACAGAAGAGGAAAAAAAAAAGTTAAAGCTGTAAGGATTTAAGAAATCCATTTTCTCATTTTCATTGTTCGAAATGAGGGTGGGATTTCATATAAAATTGAAAATAAGATATGAAACCACTGAAATTGTTTAAAAATAAAATAGTTGAATAAAAAACTAAAAAAAATCTTTAATTATATTTTTTCCCATTTCCTTTACATTCTATTAGGTAAAGCATTCAATTTCTGCAGAGTTTACACGCTCCATATTTTAACAGAGATTCCAAGACCGTATCTCTCGGTATAAAATTGGCTGGAAAGGTGAGGGTTGGCGTGAGGCTGTTCAGGGACGGCTCAATCACAATATTTCTTCCATTCCGGACCAACGCTTGACCGTGATACTCTGCTTTTATTTATTCCTTCTACTGAATATTATAACATGATGAAGAAAATATTCAATAATCTTGAATAACATGTACTTAAATGGCAATCCTTTTTTTTTTTTTTAGCCCCTTTCTACTTTTTTTTGTCTTTAATCCTTGGATTGTTTTAATAATACTCCTTTTACTGCTTAAAAGCATTGTAAGGTTTATTTTTAGATTTTTGTCGTTTCTAAGTATTTCGTTTCTTATCTGTAATATAAAAGGTGATGGGGCTCACCTCAGGCTTGAGTTGACTTTATCCTCTAGAGCTTACAACTAAACTAATAAAAACATCGATATCATGTGATTTGTTGCCAACGTTTTGGAATTTTGGCTGGTAACACATTGTTAAAAAGAGGGTTCACCCATTGTTGGGATTTTTCGAAATATGATTTTTTTTTTTTATTGTTGATAAGTTTAGTGTTGCTTGTATATCCACTGTCTTCTTTCTCTGCAGCGTGGTTCCTCTTACAATTTTTCTAATTATTCCGTTTTGGAAATATTGTAATTTTTTCCCAGTTGTTTTGCTGATATGTTGGAACAGAGGTGCACCATACAACAGAGCCGGACGTATTATACTTGTATAGATCAGAACCTTTAGGCGTAATGGTAGGTTTGTTGTCCGAATTAAGTTTTGGAGTCTGTATGTCTTGGATCTTACTGTTTTAATTTTTTTGTCAAAATGTCTAGTAAATTTTAAATGTCTGTCGAAGTGAATACCGAGATATGTTAAGTCAGTCGATAATTTAATACTGGTGTTGTTAATTTTGAATTCATATGGCATTTTCTTTTTTCCTTCTTGGTATGAAAATATAATTCCTTTCGTCTTTTCCGGATTGACATCTTGGCAATCCTTATTTATTTAGGATTAAATAAATAAATTAATAAAGTTTTTATTTTTCGAGATGCTATGAAAAAAATTTATCATGTTTGTTTATCTCTGAAAAATATTTAATGAGATCCAAATATGTTTATCGTTTATATTATCTATACAGGGAGAGGAGTAGCTCAATGGTAGAGTACTGAATTTCCAATGCTAAAGGTCCGAGGTTCGAATCCGGCTCATGGCAAACAAATTTATCTATTCTGTTTCATTGGCTGTGGGGAGACCCTGGGTCAGGAGATCCTCCTGGGGCACACCCAACCTCTATAAAGTGGATACCCTTAATTTTACATAATTAATTAAGGGGGAAAACATGGCGTTTGAGCGTGATCTCGGTCAAATCACCTCCTCGCACAATCATTGACATAGAAACAATGCTTTCCCTAAATAAATAGTACTGAACTCAAGACCTATTCATGGGTTGTAGTGGTACAGATTTTTTTTTTATTATTATTTTTTTAATATCTATACATTGTTCTTGTTGTCAGATCTCTAGATACATTTGTTATTGAAAAAAAAATCATATTTGTTATACGATTTGTGTGCAATATTGGAACAATTTTTCGCAATAAACAAACTAAACATTTATGAAGTTTAAGGATGTAAACTTCAAGCAATGGGAAAAATCACCAGACCGCTGTAAAAAAATTAGAATTTTAGATATAAAACCTTTTTTTTCATTTGTTCTACAATAACATCTAAAAGTTAATTATATAGTTAGAAAGACCAATAAATTAGTTTTTAAACGGTTTTACTAATGTTGAATTAAGAGAAAATGCTGAAGAGTTATGAGTACTATAGTGAATGGTAGGACAATTAAACTAGGAAAACTTCCAATAAAAATTTCAATTTCAAGTCAAAAAAATTATATTTTTTTAATTCAAAACAAATTCGTATTTCAAAATTTTAAAGGTCGCAAGAAACGGATCTTAATTGATTTTTAATCACAAACACTTGCTTATCCTAGTTTAGTAATAGTGTTGTTTGGTTTTTGTGATTCCTTATACATTTGGTTTGATTTTATACAATCCGAAATATTTAAAATGAAAAAAAAAAAAGAAGTCGATTGATGTAAAACGCTTAGAAATCCATACTGAGTAATGCTAGAATAAAAAAACATAAAACATAAAAAAAATGTTAAAATTTAAAAAAAATATTTTTTTTCTAGGCTCTATTGGCAAAAAACCTCGGATATGAGTCTAATATTTTTTCGATCTAGTATCACCATTAAAGTTCAATTGAAATCGGTGACACCACGTCCGTAAGCTCACATTGTTAGTACGAATGCGTTCACTTTCTTTTATTAAGAGAGACTGGATTAGATTGTGACAATTTTCATTTAGTCGTTCTCAATTTTGTTAGTGTATCATTTAGATAGAAGAAAGGCGTTTTTTATAGTAAAGTGTACACACGACTACGCATACATTTTGGGTGATAAATATTCAGGACGCAGTCTTTTTAAAATTTTAAATTTTTGCTAAAGTTTCAACACAAACATGTGGGTCATCTTCAGGGCGTGGTTTGAGCACTGAGGGTGTTCAAATACTGATACATTTTGTAGGTCGACTCACATACTAAAATTTTGTACAAAGTACAAAGATTATTTCATAGAAGCAAATCAGAAAAAAATAAATAAAAATGGCAAAAACCGACACCACCCCAAGGGCGGTTGTGACTGCTTTGGATCGGCAGTGACAGGTTAAAAAAAAAAATAGTCTAAAATCACTTGTATTAAATAACATTATAGAACGATCTAATTGCTTATAACTAATAAAGCATAAACATTTGTGTAAGAATTAACCTTCGGTCTTATTCCAGCATTTTCTGCGTATCTACAAGAAAAAATAAAATTACTTGCGTCACAACTTTATCCTGAAAATATGCCATAACTTACTTTAATCACTGCTAATTAACAACTAATGTTTAAGATATAACGAGGAAAAATATCCATTACTCTCTCTGTACATATGTAACGACAATTGTTCAAAGAAATAAAATAAAATTGTTACGTTTGTTTGTTAAAAATTAATGAAGGCCTCTACTAACATTAATGTAGCGCAATGCGTCAGTAATACCGTTAAATTAAACAGGCTACATCATCCTCTTCTTCCTAATAAACCTTTCGGCTAGGTTCTCCCCCATAATTGGAGTTACATTATTGTTTTATTGAGTATTAATACAATCTGCCAAACTGAAGGGCTATAGGCTATAGTATTCGTTCACACAATATGTACATAAGAAAGAAAAATAAATTTTGGTTTTAATTGGTTAATTAAAACCAATTTTTAATTTTAATTTGGTTTTAAAATAAAGTTTTGGTTTTATGTCTTAAGGAAATGACCACTAGAAAAAAGTCAACAATTTTCAAAATAAAGTATTTGGAGTTAGATGTTACACACTGAACACCAGTACATAATATCATAAAACATAATAAATAAGCACAGAAAGCGAAACTATAAACGTTTGTATTTGAATTTTTTCTTTTGAGATTTCTGACATTTTTGGATTTGCTTCCTGCTGGAAAGGTCTCATTATGAACAGTTGCTATCTTATCTCGGACACGAACCGCTGACAACCGACCAAATGAATAGGCGTTGCGATTGTTAGATCTGACAGTTTGGGATGGTTCATTGGAAAGGTGACTGTCCAACTTCCCATCTCTGGTATGAAACGTTAGTGTTCTGCTGAAGAAGAATTTTTCCAACGTTCTTTAAATTATGTTATTCTATAATGAAGGAATCATTCCAAAAAGTAATCATGTGTCATTAACCATTTCTTGTAATGGATTTTTTAGTTTAACTGGAGAAAAAGTGCAATAGTTGAATCTTCGTTACAGAGTCTTTATTTATTTTTTCCTAGTTTTATTCCTTCTTGCTTGTTTTTTTTTTTAACTCTAAATATCATGTATATTCTTTAAAATCTTATTTGGTTACTACATTAGTGGATAAAAAATTTATACTGACAAAAATATGTGTATCATTATGATATTTACAATTGTATAAAAAATGCATCTAGTAAATTCGTACATGGATATAATGACGTGAAACACATTAAGTGGTTGAAAAACTACTCACTGGTAGCACTCTAGAAAAAAAAAAAAATAAATCGTTGAAAGGGTTTTAGAAAGCAACTGACCCAAGCAGAACGAAAACTAATCCGTAGATATTATCGACTGTTGAGAAGCTTTCGATTTATACGAACTCTATAACAATGAACAGGAAAGTTATCGTAAAACACTAACTTTTTCCAAAATTTTAAAACGTTTTTGATTAAAGTTCACAAATTAATTTTATTACATACTGATAAGATTATGTGGGCTTAATTCAAAATCTTTCAGAAAATATAGATAAATTTCAGAAAAAATTAGTCGGGGGAGCGGTCAAAAAATTATAATATTATATTATGTAATAGGATATTTATTACATTGTATAACAACTAACTTCTTCTGAAAGTAAAACGTATTTAGATTATGGAATTATTTCCATTTGAATATTGTAGCCTGTTTCATTACTAATTCGTTCGTTCATTACAATATTGTAAGTACATAAATAACAGTTATCGCTTTTAAAGTTAATATGTTATTTATCAGTTTTTGTATATAATTCATCCATACTTCTTTTATTGTTTAATATAAATATATAACTTCTTTTGAGTTTTTTCTTCCCTAAATTTCTGAACTGTTATCAGTGAAATCAGCTGATTAGTAATGCTTGAAATATAAACGCGTGCGCAAATACCCACACAACCACACAGGTCTAATAAAGACTGAAAGATGACATTGAGCAGAATAGAGAAAAAGTAAAAAAAAAAAAAAAAAAAAATTTAACCTATGTGACATTTTGTTAATGGCGTAGGACACAGGACACTGTTACATCCCATTGGTCCAACAAACTAAAACTGAATATTAACTATACATCGCTGAGTGGAGTTCCCGGAGCTGACGGACAGGCGTGAGAAGTTGGGCTCCTCTGTTACAAATGCGACTGAAATTCTGAAACGCCAGCCCGTGTGCTAGAATAATCCACCAACAATTCCCAACTCATCATATAATCAAGAATGAATTAATAAAGCTCCTCAGAGACGCATAC